GATGATAACATCCGAAGCGGGTGTCTCCTCTCTGTCAACGCTCTCTGGTTTCATTTAAGAGTCGATCATCAGATATTGTCCAAGATTAACCTTCAGGGTGGATATAGCTCGCTAGCAGCCTCGCACCGAGGACCTATCCACGTCATCATTTACCCAGAATGCTTTGTGTGGAAATAAAATGGCTCCGTCTGTGTTAAAATATTTTTAAAATTTTACAAAACTAAGCAGCCTACAGTATTTTTAGTCTTTATTTAAAGTCAAAATATATGTTTGTCAAATATGGTCGAATGTTACAACTAATAGGGTATCCCTTTAAGAAGTTAAAAAACAAAACAAGTAGATGTCTGTCTTCAGCCTCAAAATACATAGAATTTCACTTTTTTTTCTCTTCATCCTGACCTGGATGACTGAGAATCTTCAGTAGTATGTTACTAACAGGTCAAACTGTACCGTTTACAAAGTTAGGGACAGGACCCCACTGTGGGTCACAGAAAAAAAAGGGGTCCTGAGATAATCTCTGTAAGAATGTATTCACACCAGAAAAGAACTGCACCAGAGTTCATTTGGAAACGGACCAAAGCCACCTCAAAAATGGGTCTCCGTCTGGTTGTTTGATCTGCACTGGGATTCATGAGTGTATTCACACCTGAATAAAAGGTCCAAACCAATGGGGGAAACTAACTCTGGTCCGTTTAAAGCGGACCAAATGTGTCCGGTGTGAATACACCCTAAATAAAAATAAAAGTAAAGCTGTGACCCTTTGTCTTCATCTTTCTGCTGCTTCCTTATCCTTCCAGCAGATAGTCTGTCCAGTTTCCACTCGGCTGGTTAACAGCATCAGAGATGGTCATTATTAATCTGGGTTTAATCTGATGAAGCTGTCATATGATTTAGTAGGGCCTCTGTAGAGCAGCATGTTTGCTTTGGCACAAATGTTACGCCGGATGGTCTACACAAGTTGTAGCATTTATCCAGGCTTGAGTTCAGCACCAGGAGGACACAGAAAAAGACTTTTTAAATAGTTGGGTTATTTTTACTGCAATTGTTACAAAGTTTAATAGACATATGGGGGAAATATAGTATGTATTTAATCTAATTAGCTGCGTTTCCATTGCAAATGTGCACAAAACTTTGTCGATATTCTGTTAATGTCGAAAAACACAGTTTCGCAACTGCAGTGTTTCCATTAAGTAAGAAATGCTATTAAAGTCTCACGTGAATACGTTTGTTCTTGCGATAAGTCATTACAAACATGGCGACGATGGATGTAAACACATAGCATGTTGCTACCACGACACTAGCGCTCATCATCAGAGGAGACGTCGGCGTCTTTTATCGAGGCTTTCCAGAGACAAGTCCCTACTTGGGAGCGGCTACGTATGCTGTGTTTTTGGGAAATTGTAGTCGGTGAGTTTAATACTTTATTTTACTACTTCTGTGACATTACTACTTATTTCCTGTTGTCTTCTTCATCATCGTCTTTTTCACCAGTAGAAACAGACGGTTGTTGATCACGTGTCTCCTGTGATGTGAAAAAAGTGTTTCCATTGCAGTTTTGCGAAAAACACCAGTTTCAATATGAACAAAAAACCACCTCATCCTAGTGCAAAAACATTTTCTTGAAAAATGTAATTATTTTCGAAATTAACGTGTTTCCATTGAGCAAATTTATTTTTGAAATTCTAATTTGCGCATTTTCATGGTCAGTGGAAACACAGCTAGTGTGTTGTCAGTAGCTAGTTTTACGTGCACAAAGGTATTGTATTTGGATTAAAAAGTCTGAATGTATTGTATGTACTGTATTGGCCACTCGATGATAATGAGCACTTACATGCTGGTGCATGTAGGCTTTTATTCAGAATACAAGTACTGACAAGCAAAGAGATGTAATAATGTTGGAGCTAATAATGCTTTAACATGGGGGTCAAAAGAAAAGTTTAAGAACCAATGAGAAAATGGTGCATCTCTTTAGGAATGTGTGTTGTGTACCAGAATGAGTTGTGTAATGTTTGCAGTGACTGTGCACACACATTCACACAGACCTGGGTGCTGGGTGGGGTAAATAATGCATCCTATTTTTAGAGGACTGTTCCAATTTGTGCTCCGTTTCTGTGAACCCAAACAGAGTGAGAGCTAATCAGCGCCGCTTCCCCACAGCCACAAAGAGCAGAGCTGCAGCCTGGATGTTCCTGTGATGAGAAAATACCTGCAAAACCCTGCAGCTTAGCAAAACAAGACCTTCATCATCACAAATCTCTCATTCAAATCTTTAGAAATGTATTAGCATTTATATATATTCGAGACTAGCTGGCATATCATTTTTTTTTTCATTTTGAGACGGCTGCATTTGAATGAAAGCACACTAAATTCATTTTACAATAAAATGCTTTTAAGGGGGTGGGAGGTGGTTTTATGTATTTCCCGGGCCCATAGTTCAGTTCTATACCAAAATCAAATACCTTGAAATTGGCCTTCTACCATTTTTTTCCTTTTAAGTGTCCTGTTTGGCAATATGAACCTCAGAATTGGTGTCTGAGTATCCAAATGAAGCCCAACAGTTTTACTTTCACAAGTCCAGCAAAATGGCATTTCACCATGATGCTCTACTTGATATATATTGAAACCTTTATTATAAATTCTTTTGGGATTAATTAGTTATAATGGACATAGACTGAAAAGTAAACAGAGAATTTTTTTTTATATACTACAGTAAATAAGAAAAATAAGAGAAAAATAGGAGCTGTAAAGAGAAACTGATAGAAATTATACAACATGTGAAATGAACACCAATAACACACAGGACAACACACCCGACATCTGACAAAATGAAGAGAACAAACAACCAGCAACCAAACATAAACATATGTTTGTACATATACCCACAAACACATATATAAACATACACACACATGTACACATCCACATCTACGCACAATAATTATAACTTTATTAATTAGTATACACAAAACACACACACCCATACACACAACCAGGCACATACATACATACATACATACATACATACATACATACATACATACATACATACATACATACATACATACATACAAACA